TATGGGAAATATTAGGATACGAATTTTCTGAGCGTATATTTCCGCTTATTGTATATATATATATACGTATTTATAAAATGTATATAAATGTGTGTATATATATGCGGAAACCATAAACCGAGCTTAATACATGTACCTGCACCGGCCGAGTGCTTCCGGAGACATCCGAAGCATTCGTGCGGCAGCGATCGAGCGAGCGACGTGATTCCCCTCATTTCGTGGCTATAGGGGAATTCCCACACCCTCGAAAAGTTTCCCCTATGATTCCGCGAGTACTCTTTCTCTCTTCTCACTCTCCCCCACCCCTCTTTCTACCCTTCTCTATATAGTGAATTTTACTCTCTCTTTCTCTCTTACTCTGTTCCAACCGTTGCATATCCTCAGGATCGGCTCAACAGAGTAAAAGAATTTTTTAATTATCATAGCTCTTATATTTGCTTTACTAAACAGATCAACGAGCAAAACTGAAATTATTTCCGCAGGGATTGAAAACGAAATGCTAAACAAACTGAATAATGGAGAAAAAAGAAGTAAATTCCTATAGATCGTTATCGAGTAACTTTTTTATTCATTCCTTGGAATTTTACAATTTTTTTTTTAACAAAAATATAGAATTTCCTTTAAGGGACAAATTTAGATAATAGTTTTTTTTTGACGCGATTAGATCAGAAAATTTTTAGATTTCTATATTATCGACATTTTACTCCAGCTTCTTTTTGGAAAAATATGGATCGTATTTTCAACATCGTTGTAGCATTTGTTTATTTGCTACTTAAGCTAAATGCCACAACTGTTTTTTTCCATAGACAATGAAATTTCATATTAGATTTCTGCATTACCGACACTTTATTCCATCTTCTTGTTGGAAAAATATAAATGGTATTTTCATGATTTTGCCAGTATTTGCTTACTTATATTCTAAGCTAAATGCCACAACTGTTTTTTTCCAAAGACAATGAAATTTCGAATTAGATTTCTACATTATCGACACTTTGTTCCACCTTCTTGTTTGAAAACTATAAATGGTATTCTGCTGATTTTGCCAGCATTCGCTTACTTATATTTCAAGCTAAATGCCACAACTAATTTTTTTCCAATTTGTTTATTAAAAAAAATTATATAATAATATATTTTTTTTAAATATAATTTTAGTGTATCTTTCTCTTAATTTTTGTCTTTTGTGGTTTGTCAATTTTATTTTTCGCATGTGAATTTATGAATAAGTTATCACTTTTTTATTTTACTATCAGCGAAATAAGATTCCACTATCTTTTTCAAATTTCCTCTCTTTCTCTCTCCCCTTACCACTGACACGCGAGTCGAGAGTAAAGGCGGCATTATTATTTTCGAATCAGATCCTTCGTTTTTCCATTAGAAATCTTTTTCTAATCTGCGAATTGTGCCAATTGAAAAATGGACTTTTCATTTTGCATCTCGTTGAGTTATTATTGGAAAACATTCTTCCCAGTAGACAATATGTTTTTTTTCCCTCTCTTGGAGGGAAAGTGAATTCTGAGAAAAATCCCTTTTCTTATATTTTTCTCGAATTTCTACCTCTTTGTGACCAAAATATTTTTTTATGAAAAGATTTTTTATTGAAATTGATTATTATTCTTGTAAAATTAATTATTTTAATTAATTTATTAATTTTTTTAATTAATTTATTTTATTGTCTTAAAATTTTTCTCGAAGGAAAACTTTTTTTTAAGAAAAAAAAATGTGAAAGAAATGTTAAAAAGTTTAAGGAGGTTAAATTAAAGTTAAAACAAGAATAGGTATTAGTAAAGGTGTTAAATTAAAGATTAATAAGGATTTGTATTAATGAAAATGTTACATTAACGATTTAAAGGGGTTTTTTATAAAATTCTTTAGTTTTATGGAAATTGCGGAATAAAAGGCATTTCAGAGATTGCATGGGGTTTTACAATAAATTATGAGATTCTACGGGAAGTCACAAAAGAGATTATGCCAGATTACATCGGATTTAAAGAGATTTCAACGGGTTCCTAAAAAATTTAGAAATAAAAGTTATATATTTTAGAGATAACAAGATTACAAGCCAAAAAAAAATATACTTATGAATATTATAAAGAGATTCGCGATCCTATTTATAGTTGTAATTTATGAAAATTTTCCGAAAATATTTCTATTAAAGAATAATTAATACAATTATTATATAAAAAAAATTGCAATTTTTTTTGTATAATTGGACAATTCATTTTTGACATATAATTGTGAAAGAATTTTTGTTTTTGAAAGGAAAAAAAACAGAATCTTTTTTTTTGATTGAAAGTGTAACATCTTTAAGACCCCCTCCGAATAAGAAGGATAGACTTAGCCACTTTATTCGGAGACAAAGCTCCCTGAAATCAAGCTGTAACAAGAGCAAAGCAGTTGTTTTTATTGTGTGCGCTATCACTTTGTACTCACTCACAATTACTCTTCATTCATCCCAAAGCATTTCTTTTCTGTGTGTGTCAGAAAAGAAAAAAAAGAAATCTTCACTATAACTTCTATGCACGAGCAGTATATGCAAATATAACTTCATATACATATATATTAATGTTAATATACAAAGTAAATTACTTAAAATTCAATTACTCTGATATTACATTTCTCTTGTCCTTACATTTAGAATTTACATGTACATATATATATGTATGTAAGTATATATGTACGTATGTATATACGTTAGGAATACATGAGCCGTCGGATTCTAAAACAACAGACAAAGTTTTGCCATTTCAAAAGTGTACTATGTGGAGAACTGTTTGGAAAATTTCCTTAGGAAACGTAATTTTACGTTAAATTTCATATTATGGAATGGTTTTTGTTTTTTCTTTGGTAATTATTACAAATTTGTGAAGATTTCATTTATTTCTTTTTCACAAAATGTACATATAATTAGTTTGTAATTAGTATTAGGATTTCAGGAATGTTTTTTTGTTTTGTTATTTTCTTCTAGTTTCTACATACAATTTGGTATTATCTAAAGTATAGTGAAATATACTAAAGAGCCTTGAAATACTCTAAATTATCTTGAACTATTCCAAATTATCTTGAAGCATTTGAAGTGTTTTAAATTATCTGAAGTATATCTAGAATTATTTGACGTATCGTAAAATATCCTGAATTAATTTATAATATTTAAGGTGTTTATAATTATTAGTATTCTAAATTATCTAAAGTATTCTAAATTATTTGAAATATACTGAATTATCCAAAGTATTCTAAATTATCTGAAATATCGTGAAATGCACTTAAGTATCTCGAAGTACTGCGAATTATCTTGAAATATTTTCAATTATTCAGAATTATCTGCAACATCTTTAATTATCTAATTCGTAAAATATTCTGTATTATCTGAAGTATCCTCAATTATCTGAAGTATCCTTAACTATCTGAAGGATTGTGAACTATCTTAAGGTATTTAGTAATACCCAGAATTATATTAAAGTATCGTAAAATATCTTGAAGTATCTTGAAATATTCTTAATTATCTCGAAGTATTTTAAATTATCTGAGGTATCGTGAAATATTCTGAATTATCTTAAAGTATTCCATGTATTTAGAATTATCTAAAGTATTTTAAATTATCTGAAGTATTATGGTATATCTTGAATTATCTTTTTCTTATCTTTTTTAAAGTAGGTACTTAGCATTATATCTGAAGTATTCAGAATTATCTGAAGTATCGAGAAATATCCTGTATTATCTTAAAGTATTTAGAATTTTACAAAGTATTCTGAATTACCTGAAGTATCGTTAAATATACTAAAGTACCTTGAAGTACTTCGAATTATCTTAAAATATTTTAAATTATCTGAAGTATCGCATATAGTACGCTGACTTATCTTAAAGTATTTAACTTTTTTTTTTGATTTATCTGAAAAATCTAGAATTATCTGAAGTAAACTGAGTTATCTTAAAGTACTCAATATTTTTTGAACTCTATAGTATTCTGAATTATCTGAAGTATTCTGAATTATCTGAAGTATCGTTAAATATGCTAAAGTACCTTGAAGTACTGCGAAATATCTTGAAGTACTGCGAATTATCTGAATTATCGTGAAGTATGCTGACTTATCTTAAAGTATTTAACTTTTTTTGATTTATCTGAAGTATGCTGAGTTAACTTAAAGTACTCAAGGTTTTTGAACTTTGAAATATTCTGAATTACCTGAAGTATTTTAAATTTTCTGAAGTATTTTAAATTATCTGAAGTATTTTAAATTATCTGAAGTATTTTAAATTATCTGAAGTATTCTAAATTATCTGAAGTATTGTTTATTAACTGAAGTATCGCGAAGTACCATACAGTACTCTGAATTATCTTTTTTGTTTCTACTTTTCAATAATTTGAAATAATTTCCTGCTTTTTTACCCCTTACGAATATAATTTCACACTTATTTGCATTTCTTTCATTTCCTATGCAATTATTTTTCAAAATCATTCTTCAGTGTCATTTTAGCTTTAGAATATTTTTTCCCTCCTTTCTAATTGTTAATTTCACTTATTTTCATTTTTTCCCCCTTTCCACAGTCATTTGTCGACTATTGTTATTATTTAAAAGGGTTTGTCAATGATTGCATTTCTTGGAATGATTTCCCGTGTTGTAGGTCGTTTTACTTTGTTAGGAACGTTTTCCGTAGACATTTATATATGTACACACACACACACATATATATATATATATTTATATTTACAATACCAATCTATATGTTGCACGCGTGTGTAAACAGTTTACGTTTCTCGTCTCTTCTCGAAACAAGGATATTAACCCTTCTAGTGTGTAGTTTTGCAAGTTAGCGAATTTTAAACAACATTCGCTTTTGTTCCTGTTGCTGCTTCTGCTTCCTCTATGCTGTTGGGTTGTGAGTGTTAACAATTTCGATTGGGAAAGTCTGGGCGCTAAATGCGCATGTGTCACTACTGCTCCCGCCCTACCTTTCCACCAGTGAATCCCTCTCGTCGTCGCGCTGACTCCTATACCTACTGACTACGACTACAAGAATACAAGACCAGAGACGGGAGTATTCTCTGACCGACCAGAGCATTGAATGTATGTTCACGCGGTCAGGTTTGCGGTTCGTTTCATTTTCCAGCGGCGTACATGTTCATTTGCCGATCGTATATAGTTCCCCGACGCCATTGTTATAATACCCGGAGACGTTACGTGTGTGTGTATATGTGTGTAAATTTCACTAGTGTGTTGACATAAAACTTGAAAATTTTTCTTTTATTATTGTCACAAAAAAATAATTGACAAAACTTTTTTTTTGTCCTGTTTTTTCAAAAAGAAAAAAAGAGATTACAATTTTCTGACTACCGGTTTCGAGGGTTAAAATCCCTTTATTAGAGGGAAATACTTATATCTTGACAAAAAAGCCGGCTTAACTTTTTTTTGTTTGTTTTCTTAACTGATTTTCTGATTTTTGACAACGCCAAAACGCCCTGTCGTCGCGGGCTTTTACATTGACAAGAGTGCGTTACGAAAAATTTATAAATTTTTTTTTCATGAATCCTAATTCTCGAGAAATATACTCGAAAGTGTAGTGTGTGATTTTTTTTCGGTGATACAAAACCAGTACTTGTTACGATTCTCATTTGGTTTTTTGCTTTTCTTTCAAAGTGTGGTTTTTTGCTCGTGTTTATATTTAGTGGTTTTTTTTTTTTTAAAGTGAATTATGTGATTGTGCTTTTTGACATCAAAAGGATCCTTTTTTGCAACATTTATCAAATCTGAAAAACCAAAGGTGCGTACATATTTATTGGAAAATTCTTCTATAAGTGTACTTTGTAAACAAACCCGGCGTTTCGATCTGCAATAAGGGTTGGGCTCTGACTCTCATTTAAGATTATAATTTTTATTTTTCGGTTTAAAAACTTATATTGTGAAATTTTTTTTTTCTTGTTTTTGAAGAAAAAAATGAAGTTCATAACAATGTTAATGTAGAGAAGGTGAACTCAATTTAAATTTATGACTCTTCTCTCGGAGTAAACAGAGAGCAGGTAAATCTAATTCGGAAGCGGGCGACAGGTGTCTTGGGTTGTTTGTTTTGGGAAAGGGTTTATGCTCTATTTATATAGTTTTCCGATTGAGGATTTAAATTAACTTGGCCTAATGAAATTAGTATTATCTTCTCATTTATAAAATTAAGAGTCGTAGAAATAGTTGAAGATTACTTTTAATTTTTTATTATATCCGAAAATATTTGCAAATTCATCGAATTATTAAAATATTTATAATTTTGTAAATTGATAATAATAATAATTTTTATTAATAATAATTATTATTATTACTGGTAATAATAATTATTATTATTATATTCACAGTAGTAATGATTTTTAAGAAATTTTTTTTTTAAACATACAAAGCAAAAAAAAATTTGTCAATGTTCGTAAAATGTGCAGTATATTAAGACGAAATAAATTTGCAAAATTGTGAATAAAACGGTATTTTTACATTTTGAACAAAATTTGCATAAAAATAATCAATTTTTCCGGAAACTTCCTACAAAAGTATATAATTATAATAAAGGTGCGCATAAAGAATAATTAATTTTTTTTTCATAACTCTGCGCTCACCTAACAAATAATTATCTTTTGAGAAACTTTGAAAAAATTGTTCTTTTAAAAATAAAAGTTTTTGTTTAATAATAAAGTTTTTTTTTTATTTTTCATATGTAATTATTTAAAAAAAAAAAAGTTTTAATATTTAAAAAGAATTAAATCTTTATAAAAAGTATATGGTATATAATTAGTTTTTAAAGCACTCTATATAATTCGCAATTATTGCGAAGACTTTTGTCAGTTATTATTTCCCTATATATGGGATATATAAAGAAAAAAGAAAATATGAGAAGTTATATACTAATTAATTAGTGTCCATTCGTTTATTAATTATTTTTAGTAAGCAATTTCTTTCGTTATTTGCCTAAAAGTATATATGTATAATAATTTCATATATATGAAATTAGAAATTCTCGCGAGTAAAAGATAATTAACACTTGTCATTAATTAAGCATTTTATCTATGAAATTCTTTAACATTATTATTTTTTTTCATTCGATTAATTAAAACAATTATTTATTATTATTATTTTATTTTTAGGTCACAAAATTAATTTTTTCTAAATTTATTTAGATGCCGGTTTTTCAATTTTTGTATTCGGTTAAACGCTTGAATTCTATTTTTATTTTTTTTTTTATCGAAGAACACATTTCTTTATGAGATTGAAAATGAAAATTTAAATTTCATTTTTCCCTAATTTCTCTCCTGATATCGGGGTAGATTAAACTTGATTGGAGTGCGAATGTACTTTTTGTTTGTATTTCTCCGCATTCACTGGGAAAAAAATACCCTTGTTGCGGAAAAATGTTTTTCAACTAAAATATCGAGCTTTCTTTAGATAGAAAAAAAAACAATTATCCCTTTTGCATTTAGCATTATTTTTTATTTATATCAAATTTCTCTCGTGGTACATTAGTGTTTTGTAAAAATTCTATATAAGCACAAAACGAGTTTTTAAAAGCGCAGTTTTAATTTTTTTCAGTTTTTTTTATATGAAAAGTGTTTTTAAAAATTTACATCCCTCTGTATTTAAGATTAAAAAGAATTTTAAAAATTTTATGTATTCTCGAAAAATTTTTGTTTTTTTAAATTATTAAAAAAAATTTTTAAATACTGTTTTTTTGAAACACTATAGTGATTTCTCATTTATGTCAGTAATAACATCAATTTAAAAAGTACAAGTAAAAGATTTTAAAAACATTTTTATAAGAAAAGTGTTAGTCTTGCAGAAAGTGTGTGTATATATATATATACTTTCGCGCAATGCTGGCAAAAGTGCGAGGTAAAAATTGCATTTTCTAAACTTTACGTTGTAACGTTCTCTAAGCTTCAAAAAGTTTTATGCTGAGAAAGTTATAAAAATATAGGTTTTTCCGCATGTATCTCGTTTTTTTTGTTGGAAACATATCAAAACTCTCTTTCAATGATCAAATCACTTTTGATACCGTTTTTGAAAAATTATTATTTTATTATTAAATATTTTAAAAATAGAAACAATTTCTATAACTGTCTCAGAGAAAGAGAGAGATAGAGAATTTATAAACTCGATATATTCATTATTAACAACCAAATTTCAAATTAAATCCAAGAGTGTTTGCAAATTATATGCCTGCCATATTTCGCATAAAACCCAAGAGGGCTTGAAAATTAATACCCAAAGTAAATAGCACAAACAGAAACTCCATAAATTAATCATTTTCAGTCGGAGTGATCTGCAGTTAATGAATTTCCCCTTTCTGTACAAGTGAAAACAGAATTTGTGCATTCTGTTTCATATTTTCGTCTATATATATTTATATAAGTGGTAGGTGAAAAAAAAAATAAAGCAGTGATGATTAAAAAGTGATATACCCATAAAAAGGATAAAAATGATAAAATAGTAAAATTTTATCCTCCATAAAATCGTTTAATAGATGCAGCGTCTGACGGGTGTTTTACGTTAAAAGGAACGACGAGGTGCGAGAGGGCAATCCCCCGTGACATTGAATCGGTGCATGCTAATCGCGATCTTGAAACAAAGCTTTCAAGCGCCACGCCGACACACACACATACAAGAGAGAAAGAGAGTTCGCGTAGGGTCGAGTTTGTGAAAGTTTCCGAGTATGGTTATTTGCGGCCTATCGAGTTTTGCGCGCTTCCGACTGAAGCTTTTCATCACAGCATCGATTTGGCATTCATATAAGTACGTCATTATTCCATGGACGCACTCACTCACTTTTCTGCTCTCGCATACATACACACACAGAGAGAGAAAAAGAGAGAGAGAGAGGAGCAAACGCGGATTTTCCCGTAATCCCAACTTCCCTCGGATGCGCTCCGAATTTTAACGCGTTTTATTATTAACGTATTGTGCGCCATACATTGGCAAGAAGAGCCTTTTTTCCGATCGGATTTCTCTTATATTCTCTATTTTAAATTTATTTCCATAATTTCTCCACACACACACATATACAGTCAACTTTTCCTGATATGATTTTGTCAAATTTCATTTCCTGGAAAACGGTTTTTCAAATTTTCTTTTATGTTGAAATTTACTTATATATATCTCTCTCTCTTTCTGTTATAATGTATGAAAAAAAAAGATTTTTTTCTCCTTTTTATTGATTTTTTGTTTAACAATATTTGAAGATAAATTCAATCTAATAATTGAAGATATTTATTTATGAGTGAAAATATTTTAAAAAATTTTATTGAATACACTGTTAATTTAAAAAGTATCTTTATATAAAAATTTAACTCAGTTTTATACTTTTAAGTTAACTATATGTAATGGAAGAATTTTTTGCATATTTAATTTTGTTATTAAAGATTATATATTAAACCTCCCTGAAGTTGGCGTCGACGCTCAATTATTTTTCATGCCACCAAAAATATCAAATCATTTTTAAAAACGTCCACATAATACCTTAAAAAGTATTTCTCAAGGTATTATTTGGATGGAAAATATTTTTCAAAAAAAATAATTTCCCATTTTTGCTTTTGTAAAAACAATTATTGTTTTCAATAGCAAAATGTATAAATAGATTTTCAAAAAAGTGAAAAATCTCAACTTGTACATTTAAAGATATAATTGCTACAAATAAAAAAATTTATTGTTTAAACAAATTTTTTTCGTGACAACGATTGAGTACAATTTCAATTAAAAGCCTTAGAATTAAATTTCATGAAAAATAATATGAATGTTATTTGTTTTTTTGTTGGTATTTGTTATTTTCGAGAATAGAAAGAGAGAGAGAGAGAGAAAGAGAAATTGAAGAATCGAAACATCCGTATCAATGAATCGTCTGAAAAGCGTTGAAAAGCTGCTATCATTGTTTAGGAACCGAAACGAAATTCCCGCAGAAGCGTTTACCCCAGGGAAAACGGAATTTAACGTCACCGATGTAAATGCAAAACGAAGAGCGAAATCAGTGATGCGCTTTACCAACGTGTATCGCTTGAAAATCTGTGAAACTCTAAATACCTGTTTTTCCATCGAGAACTGAAATCATTTTATCCCGGACTTTTTTTTTTTATTTTTTTTTATCATCCACCCACACTCACTCATCTTTCTGTCTCTCTCTCTCTCTACCAACCACTACATTTCATAAAGTTCCGTAATTCAGTTGCAATTTAAATCTTCTAACTGCAAATCACGCTTCGCTGAGCATTAACCTGAAAGTTGAGTTAAATTATTTCAACTAGAATTCAGATTCAAATAACTGGAAATTTCCATAGGTATCTTCTCTCTCTCACTCACTCTCTATTTGATGCTTCCTCTTGTCTACGTAGACAAATTGAATTAGTTTTGAAAATATTGGTAGCAAAAGAATAATAATTGACCTCACAAATTTGGTTTGTTGCTGCAACAAAATTTGTTACTCTTAAAAATTGGGTTTGTTCGTCCAATAATTTAAAATTTAACAAATAAAACTTGAGAATAAAATTTGTTTCAAGATTTGTTAGTTCTACATTAACAGTTGCCAATTAGATTTAACAATTCGTTTTTCTATATGCAGACCACAAAAAGTGACTTACACCGCACTTGATGATGGCAAATTATCCGCAAATCATTGTTACCTGTTTTTTTGTATGTTCCACCAGGTAAAATAGCCATTGTATATACGTCTTTTTTTTTCCTTCTTGAATTCTTTGTTCGGTTTTACGTTGGCATTGTGCGAATACAGAACGTTACATTTAAGAT